TTTGCTGTTATAACCGAAATACATCGAATGAGCAATTTTGTTATCACTTCACGGAAGATTTGACCTTGACTAATAAGATGACGGCATACACAATTCTCCATCGGAATCTCGCGAAAAACAACTGTTAGCAATGACCATGCGCACCACGATAGCAGTGATGCTGTCTGGACTCGGTTTGATAGCAAAGTATTTTGTACGAGAAGAAATCCGTTAAGCATTCGATGCGAATTACCATTCACATTTTGTTAATTATATTACTCATCAAATCGATGAATTCGGAAATTACGTAGCTGAATTTCAAAAGTTCTATACTAATTGATCTAACACAATTTGAAACAAAGGTAAATTTTGTTTTGTAATTGAAAACGAAATATTACTAACACATCTTCAATTTCATATCAACAAAGAATCTTTCCAGATTAAGAAGGTTGAATTATAATTTATCTTTTACCAATGAGTACTCTCGTTCATTTCATCATTAACATTCAATTATATTGATAGAAACAAACTAACTTCTAATTCGCATTCCTCGCCTCTGATTAGTTGTACTCAATCATTTTAAACTTCAATAATAAGATTTTGTCGATTTCTTCTTCAAATTTATTGATAATAGAATCTGAACAGACAAGAGTTTGAATATCAATCATGACAACAGATATTATTTTTTCTTATTTTACAATACTATTCGAAATATCATTAAACACAAATTCATAAAATGAAAAACTTTCATTTACATTAGAAAGTCAACCACGTGTAAACTGATGTCTATTCGTAAAAGTAAAATATAACTATAAACATAACTATGTGATAATAAAGAATGCAGTTATTTTGCTCATTAAGACAAACTTGTCAAAGAGCAGTACTTTCGAATGGAAAAATATATATTATATTTTCGTATTTTTGTTTTAAAGGAAGAAAATTACGTAAGATCATTTGTATGTCATCAAACTATAGTCAATCGTTCTTATTGGATTATATGGAACGATTCTTTATCGAACTATAATCGATATTTAATATGATTGAAAGAATAGGTTATAATTTGAAGATCACAAAGTCTTGAAAGCGCAGCATTGTAGTAAATTTCCGTAATCACTCAGATATAAAGATAAAGTGATCACATTTATCATACTGAGTTTTTTTCTAGTGATGTTAATCGCTGATGAAATTTGTATAAAGAGAAATTTTTCTCGACTTTTAATTGATGAATTGTTGTATCACATTTCATATGTAGTATTTCGACTAATTATCTGTTATTAAAAGGAGAATAGTATGGTGTATTAGAAGTAAATGCTGTCCAGCTGATTTGAAAGGGTTGAATAAATGAAAAACTTATTCATTTCATTTTTTTCCAAATCCATGTGATTCGGATTTGTATGATTCATTTAATATTTATGGTAGAAAAGATCTTTTTCAAAAATCCTTTAAAGTCCGCCATCAATCATCAGAATGATATCGATATTTACGAGGAAAATTTGTTCAGATTAATGCTGAATATTCATTTTCAATGTTATTTGTTAAACAAAAGAAAAAAAAAAACACGAATTGATATTTATTTTTATTTCAGAAATAAATTCATTTAAAAGAGATAATTATCTGTACTTTAACTTTTTATACACTGCATAATCCTCATTTTCATTTTACTTTGATGGAACTTTATAGGAATGTGAGAGATGAAAGGATATTCAAATGTCAAATCTAATTTTAGTGTTTCTACTCCAACAATTTTCTTCTCATTTATTAGAATCAAAAGAATCCTGTTAGTTCATTCGCAATTTCTCATCAATTGAGGAATGTCTTCTTCTTCTTCTTCTACCGTATTATTAATTAATGATATTCGAAGTAAACTTGTGATTCTAATTTGTATTTTATACATTATCTTTGGTACAATTGGAAACATCTTGAATATAATTCTATTTCGAAAACGTATCCTTTGGACACTTTCTCCTTGTATTCCTTATTTATTCATCGCTTCTTTTGTAAATCTCTTCATTATTTATGGATTTGTTCCATTTCGATTGCTTAGTGGTTTTCAAATCAATCCCGCTAATGTTATTTCAATTCTCTGTAAATTCCAACTCTTTACTTATTATGTCACGACTGGTCTTTCAACTTGGTTTATGGTTGCTTGTTGTAGTGATCGATTCTTTTCATCATCACCTAATGCATTGATGCGACGTTATAGTAATCTACGTATGACAATTAGAATCTCATCAATGATTACATTTCTTATTTTCATTGTCTATTTACAAATTTTATATTGTTATGACACAAATCAATTTGCTGCTATTTCAACATGTAATGTTCAAACTGGTATTTGTAGTGTCATTGACGTAATCTGGATGCTTTTTTTTCAAACTATTGGTCCACCCATATTGATGTTGATCTTTGGTATTGGTACATTTATTCATATTAAACAAAAACAACGAATTCAACCATTAACAGCAAATACAACGGAAACACAAAGAGATAATAATAAACATATTTTACCTATGTTATTTATACAAGTTATTATGTATTTATTATGTATAATACCTCTTCTTGCTACAAAGATTTATCAGAATATGACTTTATCATTTATTAAAAGTGATGTACATCGAGCAGTCGATAGTCTTGTCTTTATTTTATCGATTTTGTCAAGTCTTGTTGACAAAATTTTCTCATTTTATATTTATACATTATTTAGCAAATTCTATTGAAAAGAACTGATTAAATTAATCCGAAATATGCCTCGTCATCACACATAAAATTCACGATATAATAATTCTTACAATATTTTATCTAAAAATAAAACATATTTCATGGAAAGAACAAAGAATATCACATTCAAACGTGTTAATGATATTTATAACATTGAAATAGTTTTTTTTTTCTCTCAGATTAAATAAAATATTTAATCATCTACTTTATTGATTTATTCTGAGAGGAATTATAGAATAAAACAGAACTGGGATAACATTCAGTTATATATCGATTGATATGTCAATTTGAGATATTTTGAAGTCAAACAGATTTGAATCAACATCCGTTTTGAACTCTTGTAGGAAGTTGAACACATTCCTCATGTAATCGAGCACTTCTTGAAAATATTCATAATCCAATTCATTGTTTTTTCACAGCGATAATAATCGTCACTTCCTAAAATAAACAATTCAATTCAACTCCTTTCCTTTATCTGTTCTTACAAATTCTCCATGATCAATTATTTGAATAAATTATTTATAAACTTCAATTGAATAACAAATAAAACACATATCAATATTACTTCTATAGTTGGTAATACGGATTATAGTTCAACTATCATTAGAATGTCTCGAATTGAAAGCATTTTTGTTAATAGTGAACAACATGTCCACGTTACTTTCAATCATTATGTAATATTACGAAATAATTCTACTGTTGTTGCTGATATTTATCATCTGAGTAGTAACTCAACAGAATACACTAAGATTCTTGACAAGGTGTCTTCTTTTATCGAAATATTTCATCATTATTTGTTTGTGATACATACAACATCAATTGAATGATCTTGTAACTGTTTAAGTGTTATCAAAGACTATAGTTTTATTTATATTGAAGGTGCGAATAATCAGCAAATTGTTCACTGGAAAATTTTAACGTTACAGAAGAATTTACTATCGTAGGTACGGGAATGCAAGGACAAGATTCTACAATGATGAGTAGATATATTAAAGTTTCATATGAACTAATACGATCGTCCTTTTAGTCGAGAAAATATAGTTCTTGAGAACTTAAAGGCACTACGATTGAACAACTAACCGATTTTCCCTTAATTTTCGAAGAGTTTTGGGAAAAGAAGAATATGTATTTATATAAACAAAAAATCTTTTTCAATTTTCTAATGTTTCCATCAATACAAAATATGGTTACATATAGTTTCTTATCAACATAAATTAAGTTCCTTAGAGATTCAGATTATCCAGCTGAACGAATGGTAAATAAGAAATGAATCTGATTGACAGGGTTCTATTTTTTGATTAGTTGACTCTTAGATTATCCGAGGGAAAAGATTAACAAATAGAACTTTGTTTCTCTTAAGTTCATATTATAAAACCTTATTCAACATTTTCAGTTGAACTATTGATTCCTTGTTCAATTCGATTTTGGCTTTTTCATTTCAACAAATATCATATCTGTTCTTTCTCATTTATTTGTCAAACAAACACTTTGTCAAGTACTTTATATTTTTATATTATCCAATTCATTATTTAATTGTTGTATTTGTCCTGTTAAATGTGAATATATATTTGATTATGATTCGTTTTCATGTTTATTTACAATTTCATTTATAACAACATGGGAATTTATTGCTCATGGTATATTATACCAACTTTATTTATAGTCATACTTCAATCGTACTATTTTTTTTTGTTGGTAAAAATCTCGTTTACATCAAAGTTGTTTAATGACTAAAATATCGAAAGATAAATATTCAACTATTATCTTTTATGATGATTTTCTCATATTATTCAATATTTCTTTTATCAATGGTATGTGCTGGATCATTACTGGAATTAAGAAACAAAATTAACGATAAATTCAAATGTTTGCAAAGATAAGTTGCTCTGTATATTCGTTGATTTTACAATGCAGATCAACGACAAGATATCGAAGCTTTTATGTGTTTGAATTCCACATACAATAAACATATGCTTTCGAATACATATTGAATGTTCATAATCTTATGACTATAACTACAGTGCAAATCATATAGGTACTGTTTGTCCAATTAAAGAGTGAATGCGATATTCTTAAGATGAAATTGTACGTGCGTTTTTTCGTGGACATGAATATGTGTATTTGAAAAAAAGATAAGATGAAGAGTGTTTGCACATAAGATAAAAGAAAAGCCATTTACGAGTTGTTTTTATTTCTTCATAGAACCTTACAATTCACCGATAACGTAGTCGATATATCGCAATTTCGCCGAAATTAAACGATCATTCTTTGATTTAAGGTTTAGTATTGTAATTTTAGATAAAATGCCAAGTCGTTTTTCTGATATTGAACCTTTGAATACTAAGCAAGCAATAGATAATTATCTTCTTTGCAAAATTGTTCCACTCAGTGAAGCTATTATTCCTATATTACATATCGTTACTGATATTCTTGTTCATATTAACATAGCTAAACTTGCATGTCAAACTCCTTCAGACAATCTTACACAAGATGAATCAGCTTCAATTTATCTATATACAATGAATACTGAATTTTATTTTAAAATAAACAAAGCTTTACGAACAAATGTAGTTGAAAACATCAAACCATGGTTTCTCTATTTAAAACTTTTTCATACCGCTTTAAATAAATTACCTTCACAAAAAGAACGTGTTTGGCGTGGAATTGTAGGTAATTTTCGCAGTCAATATACAAAAGGTACTCGTTTTGTATGGACAGGTGTATCATCAACTTCGTCAGATATCGGTATGATCGAACATTTTCTACCAAATAATAAACACACGACGATTTTCTCAATTAATTGTTTATATGGAAAATCTGTCACAAAACATAGTGCGATACCTGATGAACAAGAAATTATTCTCATGCCGGGAACAAAATTGATCGTTAATGGAATTTTAAAGAAACATTTACATGATATTATTGATCTTAAAGAAGAAATCAATCCAAATTTTATAAATAGTCTTACCATACTTCCTGCAATAAAAGTATCAGTGAAAAAAGACGATTCATGCCCAACTAGTCCAAAAGCACCGTTACCAAAGAAGCCAAAGGTTGTTTTGCCTCCAATTAAATCTCCACAAACGAAAGAAACAGTTCAAGATAATTGTAAGTAATCTTATACACAAAATGTCTCTTTTTTTTTTTAAATAAATTTCAATATTTCAGCTGAACCGCAAAGAACATTGGTTTGTCCTCATTGTCAAGAAAAGAATACTTATTCACACTACAAACAAGGATCCATAAGTACATGTTATTCATGTAAAGGCAATTTTAAACAAGTAACATGTCCTCATTGTCAGAAGACAAATTATTGTAAAAATTCTCAAGCTTATGCTTCAAGTCGATCTGTCGATTGTGCAAATTGTCAAAAATCCTTTCAACAATTGAATTGTCCTCATTGTAATCAATGCAATTATTTCCTCAATGCTAATTACATCGAAGGAAATACGGTGAATTGTTGTACATGTAAGAAGCCATTTCAAGTGATGATTTGTACACATTGTTCATCAGAAAATATTTGGCAAAATGCAAATCATGTTGAAGGTAGTCGAGTAAAATGTTCCAACTGCAAAAAAGACTTTCAAAAAGTAAATTGTCCTCATTGTCAAGCGCGTTGTTCTTGGAAGAATGCAGATTATCTTCCAGGTACTCGAACGTCGTGTGGATCATGTAAGAAAATATTTCAATGTGTCAATTGTTTTCATTGTAAAACTCCTCTCAAATGGTTGAAGTCGGAATATGAACAAGGAATTGTAGTCAAATGTACATCGTGTTCAAAGAAATTTCAACAAATCAATTGTCCGCATTGTAAAGTAACGAATTGGTATAGAAATGCCGATTATGTTCAAGGATCATCGACGCGATGTTCGTCGTGTAAAGAAAAATTTCAACTTTTGGCATGTCCAAATTGTTCGACAGCAAATATTTTGAAAGGAACAACTTTTTGTCATGGAAAACGACAAACATGTTTTAGATGTAAAAAACCTTTTCAAATGATGCGATGTCCTCATTGTCAAGAAATTGAATACTTCAAAACAGGTACTTATCGTCAAGGAAATCAAATAACATGTCTTCATTGCAAGAAAATATATCAATTGCTCAATTGTCCATATTGTTTCGTTGCATTGTATGTTAATGCAGCGAATAAATATCATGAGAATAAATTAAGAGATTGTCTTTCATGTAAACGATCGTTTTATGATCTGAACTGTTGCAAATGTGGTGCTGCTGAATATTTCAAAACACCATATCAATACGGATCTCGAGATAAATGTTCTTCATGCGATGTTACTTCACAATATGTCAAATGNTTAATAGATTGTCTTTCATGTAAACGATCGTTTTATCATCTGAACTGTTGCAAATGTGGTGCTGCTGAATATTTCAAAACAGCGTATCTATGCGGATCTCGAGATAAATGTTCTTCATGCGATGTTACTTCACAATATGTCAAATGTTTTCATTGCAATGCTATGAATTCATGGCAATGCATTACAAAAAAATATGCTTATGGACATGGGTGGATTGTGACATGTGATCGATGTCAGAAAAAATACCAACATTTACAATGTCCACATTGCAATACGGCGAATTATTCTTCGAATTGTACCTATGTCGAAGGAAATAAAGTCAAATGTGTGAAATGTGAAAAGTTATTTCAGCATAAGCAATGCAAATCATGTAACGCATCGAACTATTTTCCGAATGCTGATTATGATGCTTCGAAAGGATGTATATGCTGGGATTGTCATGCAAATATTTGACACTATCTCTGTTTTCATGATTGGACAGATTTGAGAGCGCATAGTTAGTTTATTATTCTTGCTTTATCACGCAGAAAGGCTTAATGGTTTTCGGAACAGTTTCGTTTGTGAACTGATCCAATTGTCACGTTCCGAATTTGTATCAATGATGGAACCGTTTCATGTTTTTGTAAAATCGACTTTACAAGAAACTATTCGTAATTTTTCATTTTTTGTAGACATCTTTTCGTTCTTATTAATTGATATCCACAAAAATATGTGTTCACTTGACTTTTATAAATACTTCAAATCGAACCCGGCACTGTGTTGTACACTCACGCCATCGCTCGAACGAAACTGGTTTTATATGAAACAGAAAAATAGAATTCAGAACTGCCTATGGCCAATAATTTCTGTTCTGGTTATTTTTGAAGGTTCCGTTAGTGAAAAGTAGATGTCTCCGCTCGTGATGCATTTGTCAATGAATTTATACAGATTTACCTCTACGAGTTTCTATTTGCTTATAATGATGCAAGCGTAGAGAGCTTTTGTTTGATAAGATATTGTTTTCATCATATTTTATTTTTTGATCATTGAAACCATCAATCATCATGTATGTGTAATGAAACGAACATTAAAAATATTTCATACTCTGTTCATGTTGAGTATAGGGATTCCAGATTTAGCGACGAAGCTCTTGCTTTTCTTAATATATTAATGCAATCACCTCCACCAGAAAACAAAACCGATGTCAATGCAAATCGTGAACTATCAGAGTCTCTCCATGCAAATGTTAATCAAAAACTTATTGGTGCTTTCAAAGGAACTGAAAAAGAAGAACTAATCAATGCTAACTCAACAGGTTAATATCAGAGGCATTCTGCATGGAAACGTGTTTTCGAATTCATTTATCATCTATATAGAAATTCCAGTAACGATTTACACACCTGTTGATGTTGATAAGTCAAAATTGGTCATATTTTTTCATGGCGGAGGTAAATAAGACGAATGATTTTCATTTTGAAATATCTATAGTTTTATCTTGAGTGAAGGCTGGACTGTAAATAGTCGACGCACACATCAAACAATGGTCAACATGATTGCTGAGTAACAAAGAATATTTTCAGTTTATTCATATTTCATTGGTTTTTAGTGCGACAAACACGACTTGGATTAATGTGGAATATCGTCGTGGACCAGAGTATAAATTTCCTATTTGGTGGAATGATGTTTATCAAGTAACGAAATATATTATAGAAAATAAACAATCTTATGGTTGTATTCATCATATGAGTTCTATATTTGAATTTCTGTATTCGATATTTAGGTGTCGATTCGTCGGCTAAAGTCGGCGTTGCTGGTGAAAGTTGTGGCGCTTTAATGGCTGCAGGGTTATGCCATGCAATGAAAAATATTGATTTTCAGGTAAAATTCAAATCTATACGATTTTCGGATAATAAAGATTAAGATTTTCGTTCAGATTTTAGTCAGTGGTATTTTAGATCTACATCGAACAGCACCATCATATAAAGAATTTACTCATCAAATGTATTTCCTGACACCGGAGATCTTAGACTGGTAAGTGAAGTAACAAACTCTATAATAATGATATGTGTATTCTCATCTGTATCATAGGTTGACATTATCAGCTTTTGACAATATGAAAGATTTAGATGATCCTCGTATTGCTGTAATGCAGAATAAATCTTTCGAAGGATTACCACCATGTTTGTTCATCGTTAGTGAATTGGATCCGTTGCATGATGATAGTTATGGTACAGAACATGACTAATCAAAATATGAAAGTATATAAATCTTAATTTGTTTGTTTCATTTATAGAATATCAAAAACTTCTTGATAAAGCTGGAGTTCAAACTAAATTGGTCCTCATCAAAGGTGTTCTTCATGGGTTCTTCTCCGTTCCAGGTATTTATCCAAAAGCGTGTGCTGACGTGATCATTAATATAAAAGAATTTATGGGTTCGCTATGAAATTGTGTGTTTGGAAATACGAAATAGACTGTAGAGAGACAAACTTTATTTTCGATTATCAATAAAAAGGCTTTTTCTTTATTATTATATTTATCTTTTGCTCCAGAAACGTCACATGTTTAGCGTCTCCGATCTGCTAGATGTATGACATTGCGGATTTAGTGAAGTATTTGTACAGTTTGTCGATGTAATTTAAGAAAACAAGATAATGAAATCTCTCAGCATCATGTAATTATAATTATTTTGATAAGAGAAAAAATATGTCATCTTGGCATAGTTTCTGAAATTATATACGTATGTAGAAAGGAATAAAATTGTTTGAGAAGTGTATGCAAAAAAAGAATATGAGTACATATCGACCTACACATATTTTTCGTGTTCCAAACGTGCAGATTCGTGGTGGGTAGGGACGTAACAATACCAATACTTTCAATACCAATAGTATTGGTATTAGTGTGTGAGAAAGCTAGCAATATAAGCACTATCTATGTTTGTGTATTTCATCCACACCCTCAATTCTTCTTGTGCTTTGGTTTTGAATGTCACTTTGCCAGTTGGTGCATCGATTCAAACTTGTATTTGGAAATGTGATCATGAAGATCAATGTCAAACAGGTGTTTATTATCATGACAATCGAACTTGTTTGCTGTTTAGCGAAGATTGTCATCATCCGGAAATGTTCAAACGAGTGTTATTTGTCATCGAAGCAATCAGGGTTAGTTTTAGATTATTGTGATGATATTTTCATCATTAGTACTTTCTCTTTAGGATCGAATAATCAATGTTCGCATCGAAGTGAGTAAACTGAAAATGATCTGATAAGTGCGAGAGCGTATGATTTATATCGATAAACATTACAGATCAAGAAACTAAATGTGATATTCAGCGTGTATGCTATTATTAGACAAAATTTTAATCATTTCACGATAGAGAAAATTATTGTAAAACATCTGCAAACAGCTTGAACTTTTAATAAACTTCAATTTGTTTTTTCACGTGAAATTTTTTGTCTTATTTGGAAATATGAATATTAGGCGACATATAGGCATACAGCATCGATGTTATCAAATGAAAGGATATTAGTCACTGGTGGACTGAATGTTAACACTAATCTGAACGGTGTTGAGAAGATCAGAGAGGAAATTTAGGATCGATTTCATAGTTGTGTTATTCGAATGAGAAATTAATTAAGTTTTTCTCAAATGGAACAAGCTGTCAACACTATTAATCTATTTGATAACAAATCAGAGTTATTAGAAAAGTACCGCGATAGATGACGCTAGTTAGTTACATTGTATTATTGAAAAAAGGAAAAATATTTTGAAAAAGAAATTCTTTATTGGGTTCGTGTGTCACATCTTGATGTTTGACGTGTGAAACAAATGTGAATAGTTTTCCTTGTTCCCATAATGTTCGTAATCCGATTAAATCTTCGGTGAATTGTCTCGAATTATTCCATGTTTCAATTTCTAAGGAATTTTTTATGTAACCCATAAATAAACCTGATTGTCTTGGCATAACAACTTCATCTCTGTCCGAATAAGTCATGACAAATGAATTTAATTTGAGGATATTTTCACGATAGATGCCATTCGGAGTACCTCGTTCATTATTGATATCAGGAAGATAATGACAATTCGAATAGTATCGATCTAACTGCTCAGGATCGCGCCAGTAATTCGCTGGACTAATCACGTTTTGTATCGCCGTTTCGTACGCGTATTTTGTTATTAAATCTCGAAGTTCGATTGGTAATTGCAGGAGATAAGGAACACCGAAAACACCTTGATGAATACCACTTAAAGTTATGAGATTATAGACAGGCAACGAACAACGTTCAACAGCACCACGAGCGATGATACTACCTTGAGAATNTAAAAACAACTTTTGATTTCGTCAGGAATTTGCTTTTGATTTCTTAAATTATTTTTTTAAAGAGATTTTCTGTTTGCTTAAATATCGGAAGAATAAATCATATTTTATCGATTCTTTTATTATTCGTGTCCTGAAATTCTCAGTTTCGATTCAAAAATAAAGATTTTTACATTTTCATTCGATCTTCTTTAGAACGATGAATTTTCTGTTTTTGAGAAAATCTTCGTGACAAAATGTTGTTTTTACATATCGATGAATCGAAAATCGAACTTTAATACAAAACAAATTGCGTTTTCTTTCTATGAACAGAAGAGCAAATTGATTCGTGTTCATTTACAGGTTTTCTATCGTGTGAAAGCTATCGATTGTTTTCAAAAGAAAAGACAAATTCAAAGTCTGATTTTGGGAATTTCACTCGAACTCTTACTTTTTTATACAAAGGAACAACGGAAAAGAATTGGGAAGAGTTTTCTGTCAATAAAACTGATTCTTTTCCACATCAGAGAAAAAGTCACGAGACAAAGGCAGTGAATTTCAGAATAAGTTCATATAAAATAAATCAATCGGAATGAATCACAGCGGAGAAATCATTTCTGATGATCTTTCGTTTTATTGACGAGAGTTTTTGTTAATTAATCTACTCGATAAAATGTGTATACGCGTTTAAATAGAGAAAATAAAGTAAAACATAAAAGATGCAAAATGTGGAAAATGATCGTTTATTGATGATCTTCTTCTTTTGATTAAACACTTCTCGATATTTTTGGTTTTCATAAAATGTTTTATTCAATAGGGAAAAATATTTTTCTTTGACGACAAAGATTTTAATTATTGGAAAGAAAATCTTCTTATCAAACAATGTCTAATGGATTATTAAGTCAATGAAGAAGTTTTTGAGTTACACAATGAGGATTTGATTGCGCGTATTATTTTTGATGCAAAAAGATTTTCATTCAAACTTTACTTTTTTTTCTGAAGAGAATTTCAAATTCTGTTCATTTTTGGGTTCCGATTGTCGAGAAAAGATGTTCTACGAAGTATTCAGTCGTAAAGTCGAACTAATTCCTTTGTTTAGTGTAGAAAGACTAAACGAAATGATTTCTTTATTTCGGAAAGTTATTTTTCTCAAAGGTTTTCTTCGCACGGCGTTTTTTAACTTCAAAAATTTTGAAAAACTTTTTCTTTTCTCAAACAATTAAATCAAATCGTTGAATTCGATCATTTCCACAATCACTAACATAAAGATTTCCTTCGCCATCAAATAATAAACCAAAAGGACAAGACAATTGATTAGGTTCATTTCCTAGTCCATTTCCACCAACAATTATTTCACCTTCTTCATCTCCTTCACACCATCGCATTATTCGATGATTCTCACGATCTGCAACATAAATTCGATCCTCATGGCCAACAATCATTCCTTGAGGACGATTCAATTGATTCAGATTCTTTTCGTTTCCATTTCCACCAGCAACAGCAATTCCTTCCTGCGCATCTTTTCTCCATTTCATCACACGATAATTCCCAAAATCTGAAACATAAAGAGATTGTTCGTCATCGACAAACAGAAAAGTTGGAAGGTTGAACTGATTGAGTTGATCTCCTCTTCCATTTCCACCAGCAACTAATGTTCCTTCACCCTTTTCTCCCATTTTCCATCTTTTCACTTCATCTTTCTCACAATCAGAAACATAAACAAATCCAAATTTATCCATTGTTAACCGCCAACAATCGATATTGTCAATGAGAATCTCCGGTTGATTTGTGTTCAAAAACCATCGCATTACTCTTCGATTTCCAAAATCAGCAATTATGAGTGAATTATTTTGTTCATCGAAAATCACATCTGTTGGTTGATCCAATTGATTCAAACTGTTTCCTCTTTCATTTCCACCAGCCACAATTGTTCCTTGACTTTCGTTTCTTTTCCATCGAACAATTCGATGATTCCCTGAATCCGCAATGAAAATATTTCGATGTTTGTCGATAAATATTCCATCAGGATATGAAAGGTGGTTTAATTTGCCTCCTCTTCCATTTCCTCCACAGATTGTCGATCCATTTTGTTTCCCTTTCTCCAACTTTGGTTCTGCAAAGAGAAAAATTCAGTTGGTCTTTTGTATTTGAATTCATTGTTTAACAACGCTGTGTATGAGAGAAAGGTATTTTTCGACTTACTTCTTGTTGATTTCACTGAGATTCTTTTGATAAATGTTTGTGAATCTTCTTCGATGAAGATCTCTGATGAATCGTTGAATTCCTTGCTGATTTTTGTTAACTTTTCTTCTAGATCTTCCAGATTGATTTCGTTCATTTCATTTTCTTCTTGAATTTCTTTGCTTTCTCTAATCAGTTTATTGAATTTCTCTTCAATATCGATGAGAAATTCTTCATTTTCTTTGAGAAATGTTTGTCGACATTGTTCAGCTGTTTGTCGAATAATTTCGATCGAATTCTTTTCCCATTGATCAATTTGAATAAAGAGAGAAGAGTTTTGTGGATTTTCTTTTCTTTCTTGAAGATTTTCTCTGAATTGATCATAATTGTTGATAATCGTGTTGAATTCTTCAGTCAAATCTTGTCGATGTTTCATTAAATCGTCAAAACAGAATTCGTTTGAACAACCTCGACAAGAATATGTCGATGTGTGTTTTTTACAAAGAAAACATTGTGCTTCATTCGTTGTCATTTTGTCAATCAATGTGAAATATGAATTTCTAAAGATAAATTTGAAGTCAAAGTGAAGAAAAATGACAACATTCGTGGGAAATTTTTCAATGAATTAGTCATTGGTTTTTTCCATCGAATCGATCACGATTCACGAGTAAATAAGAAAATATAATGAAAAACAAACCTATGTGTCTTTTCTAGTGACATCTGTTCCAAACCGATCTAATTTTGAGAAAAGATTTCTTTTGTTTTTTCTAATTTTTAATAAATTGATCGTAAATTTTCGTAAGAAACCTTCGGAAATTATTTTCTTTAAAAAATATTTCCGATATTAATTGCAATTTTGGTTGGAATTAATTTCATTTTAGTTGATTTGAGAATGAAACTCAAATTCTGTTGATCTCTTTTTGTCACAAAATGAAACAAAATTGATTTGAACCGATGATTTTGAAGAAATTTTGTTATCAGGAAATTCTCGAAGAAAAACATAAGAACTTATTGAAAAGGAAAAACAAAAAAATTCAAAATGGTAAAAATTGATCGATCATTTCCTTTTTCTCATGAAAATTCTTTCTTCAAAATGAAGAAATTCTTCATTTATGAACTTCGAAATCTCTTTTGAGTTCAACGATCATCGCGTTATTTTCAAAAAGCGCATCGTTATATCAAAGAATTTCTCTTTAGATCGATAAATGAATAAATATTTCTCGATGAATATCATTTTCTCTTTTGTGTTGAATTTGGTTTTTAAATTATTTTCTCTAAAATATTCCTTTGAAAAATCCAACGAATTTCCTTTTTTTATTGGAAAGAAAACAAAAATGAAATTTTTCTTTTTTCAAATGATCAAATCAAATCGTTGAATTAGATGATTTTCCTTATCACCAACATAAAGATTTCCTTCACCATCAAATGATAAACTGCGAGGATAAGACAATTGATTGGGTTCATTTCTTTGTCCATTTCCGCCAACAATTATTTCACCTTCTTCATCTCCTTCACACCATCGCATTATTCGATGATTCCCACAATCTGCAACATAAATTCGACCCTCATGATCAACAATAATTCCTTCAGGACAATTCAATTGATTCGGATTCTCTCCGCATCCATTTCCACCAGCAACAACAATTCCTTCCTCTGCGTATTTTATCCATTTCATTACACGATGGTTTTCCACATCTGAAACATAAATAGATTGTTCGTCATCGACAAACATAAAATTTGGAAATTGGAACTGATGGAGGTTCTCTCCTCTTCCATATCCACCAGCGAATATTCTTCCTCTGCCGTCTTCTTCCATTTTCCATCTTCTCACTTCATGTTCCATATCATCAGATACATAAACACATCTAAATCTATCCATTGTTAATCGCCAACAGTCGATTCTTCTTAAGAAAATCTCCGGTTTATCTTCGTTCAAAAACCACCACATTACTCTTCGATTTCCATAATCAGCAATGATGAGTGAATCAGTTTGTTCATCGAAAATCATATCTGTTGGGTGATTCAATTGATACAAACTATTTCCTTTTCCATTTCCACCAGCCACAATTGTTCCTTCATTTTCATTTCTTTTCCATCGAACAATTCGATGATTCCCCGAATCCGCAATGAAAATATTTTGATATTTGTCGATAAATATTCCTTCAGGACTTGAAAGTTGATATGATTTGTCTCCTCTTCCATTTCCTCCACAGATTGTCGATCCATTTTGTTTCCATTTCTCCAACTTTGGTTCTGCAAAGAAAAAAATTCAGTTGATCTTTTGTATTTGAATTCATTGTTCAACAATGCTCTGTATATGAGAAGAAGATATTTTCCGACTTACTTCTTCTTGATTTCACTGAGATTCTTGTGATAAATGTTTGTGAATCTTCTTCGATGAAGATTTCGGATGAATCGTTGACTTTTCTAGTGATTTCTCTTAATTTTTCTTTTAGATCTTTCAGATTCGTTTCGTTCACTTCATTTTCTTCTTGAATTTCTTTGATTTCTTTAATCAGTTTATTGAATTTCTCTTCAATATCGACGAGAAATTCTTCAATTGCTTTGAGAAATGTTTGTCGACATTGTCGAGCTGTTTGTCGAATAATTTCGATCGAATTCTTTTCCCATTGATTAATATCAATGTAGGCATAATAGTATTGTGGTTTTTCTTTTCTTTCTTGAAGATTTTCTCTAAATCGATCATAATTGTTGATAATCGTTTTGAATTCTTCAGTCAAATCTTGTCGATGTTTCGTAAAATCTTCCAAACAGAATTCATTTGAACAACCTTGACAAGAATATGTCGATGTGTGTTTATTACAAAGAAAACATTGTGCTTCATTCGTTGTCATTTTGTCCATCAGTGTGAAATGTGAATTTCTAAAGATAAATTTGAAGTCAAAGTGAAGAAAAATGTCAACATTCGTGAGAAGTGTTTTGATGAATTAGTCATTGGTTTTTTCCTTCGAATCAATGACGATTCACGAACAAATGAGAAAATATAATGTAAAATAAACGTGTGCGTCTTTTATATGGCTTGTCTTCCAAATCGATGTAAAGGTATTTCGTCTTTTTCTTTTGCATTTCACAAAATGCAAACAATTCATTCGATCTCAACAATCAAAACAAAACAAAAAGAAAAGAAAAGAATTTCTTTTTCACTTTGAAATTTTCTTCATAAACACATGAAAAGGTTATTTTGCACAAAATTGAAATGAGTTCGTAAAACGATCATCGTCTCATCTAAATTTTCCTTTTCATTTCTGAACAATTGATGTTCGACTGAGACAAAAATCTTTTTATTTTCAAATGATTCTTTTCATTGATAAGAAAATGATTTTCTTCTTTGCTTTTGAGAAATACGTCAAAATCGACAAACTTGTTTTCCATATACTAAATATGTTTAATATTATATAAGAACAACTATGAAATAGAATACGAATTACGTCAAATCACGACTAAGTGTCATACGATGTTAAATAAAAACAAAAGACGATTGCTGTCAACTAATGATCAGATGAAAAGATGAGACCCACGGAGAAAAATATTAATCGAGAAGAAACTCAATAAAAATATGAATGTTGCGTACGCATAAGTTATTCTATTGTCTTTTGGAAAACTTAAATTGATATTCAATATCAGATCGAATAGGTTACAGGAAGAGCTTTGTCTATTCTATTACTTTGTTAAACCAGATAACGGTCATTTCTTTTTCCAAAGTAATGCACTGAAAAAACAGAAATATCTTCTATCAGTCGATGGTATTTTTAACAAAAATCGAAGTAAATGACAAGTTTTACGTTCGAGGATATTTTATTCAACTGAAAATACATTTATCGATGATTTCTATTCGAAAGAGCTCTCGTAGAGTAAAACGTTCATTTTTAAGAGATTTGTCTTCATAATTACGAACTGCAATATTGTTGTAACAGGTAAAGACCGAACAATCGCTACTTGAATAACTTAGAAAAGTGAAGGGAAGATGTTTGTATTTTATAAGAGAAAGAGTCAAGTCTCAGTAGTGCTTGAAATCATCTACTTGATTTGTTGTGTCACTTTCATTTCAGAATCAGATTTTCTCCGTATTTTACACTGATTGTTACTTTCATAAGGTGAATTTAGTGAAATCTTTATTCGTGAATTGATAAACTAAACAAATTCCAATCTTCAAAGTTAATTTTGTCATTATGTGATCTGATCGAACAAACATTTCTTAGTATCGATTGGAATCTGATGTGCATAAATCATCAGAATTCGACAAAAACACAATATTCAACTAATTGCTGGTAATGGTTGAATCGATTTTCTAATGTTCATTGGATGCGATGAAATTTGATTTCTTTTTCGAAATAAAATCTGTCTAACGTGTCGATTTACGCCGAGGTAAATGTCAGTGATAAAAGTTCGAAGGAATATAACGAAG